TGCGTAATAGTAAGTCACGTTTAACTGGCCCAATGCAACTAATTTCTATTGCATGATACAGATCTCTAGTATGACTGATTCTGGTTACGATGCATCAACAACAAAGGAGCAGACCGGAGAGGTATGTCAAAAGCGTTTGGAAGGGTAGTCTGGACGTCTAAATAATGTTTACAATGATAGTCCTCTCATATTTACATTTACTTTTATTTTTTAATTTTGTTTTTCTTTTTATTGTATTTTTTTTTCTTTTTATGCGCTGGTAAAAATAGAAAAAGTGATATAAGCACTATAAGTAGTGGTGGTGGTGGTGGCGGCGGTGGTAGTCGTAGTAGAAGTTGACATTTCTTCTTTACTACAATGTAGTATAGACTACCACTCTACCACCACCACTACCACTTTATTGCAATTTAGCATGTTCCGTATAAATAGGAGAAAACGCGAACGCAGTTAGTAGTAGAGCACAATGCCCCATACTTCAAAAAAAATTTGGTAATCTATCCATCCGATAAATTTTGGTACTCACGTGACCGTACCCTGACGGTTCGTCCGTCCGCACCCCAAGCATACCAATGTCTAATATAAAAGTTGTCGTTACGTCTTTAACTCCTGCAAATCCATTATATCATTGGATAATCATCCACGCAACACCGTTTGTAGCTGTGCAGTCTACATGGCATTTTTTTCTTTTTTTCTCATACTTTTAACGCCATAGCTTATACTGCGTAATAGCAAGTCACGTTTAGCTGGCCCAACGCAACTATTTTCTCTTGGATAATACAGATCACTAGTATGACTGGTTCTCGTTCTGATGCATCAACAACAAAGGAGCAGTCATTTGCCGTTAATTTTTCGTCGATGGCTTCGAGGAATTTTGTAATTTTCGACATATTCGCAATTTTCGTTGGTGTTGTAATTTTCGCTGTTTCGTCGAGGGCCTCATATTACCTCATTTGCATTTCTCTGTTACTTTTCGTCGATGAGCCGGCAAAATTTTGTAATTCTCGTTATTTTCGCAGTCTTCGTAACAACCATAGTTATTAAAGTGGAATGGTTATGAAACCTGTTAGACTCATATGTTATATGTTTTTGTTAGCTTTTTTGGACCGACCGTGCACAACTTTCGATAGCATTCCTATCATTTTGAACTCACGGACCAATAAACATGGCATTAATTTATTCAGTCACAATTTGTGAACGAAAAACAAAGGATTGTGTACGGTCAGGGAGCTTCCAACGAAAACTTCAGCATCGTTTTTTTCAACTATGATGTTTGCCGGCTTTCCTAACCACTCTCCTCTGCTCACTATGTAACAACTGAGCAAAATCTGGGGATTTTTTCTAAATTTCGTGGCTGGGTTCCACCTCGGATTTATCTCGCTACTTTGGCCAAGGGGGTGGGCGCTTATTCGGGTAAGAGGGCGGATTACAGGGCGCTGTTTGATCGCTATTTGGTAGTCTTCGTTGTGAGTAAATCGTTCTAAAGTGCTTGTATGAGTACATAGAAAAATATCGGAGCATTCATCAGTGAGTCTATTGTGTAGGATTATGTAGTTGTAAAGAAGAAACGCAGTTCAGAAATATTTTCTTTTTCAATCATCCTAGGACAAGAAGCAAGTCCTGACCCATATGGAGAGAGCTGAGAAGGCAAAGGTAAGTTCAGTGGGATATATAGTGCAGTGTGAACTTGTGTATTTTTACAAATCAAGAAACTATTTGAAAAACGTCACAGCAGGTCTGGAAATGCCATATTGTTAACGACTTGCACATAAATTAAACTCAGCAGACGCTTGTTCATTATGAGTTGCAAAATCGTAAGGTCATTTCTCTGAAATAAAACCTGCACTGCGATTTCTGTTAAACTTTACCTATTGGTAGTTTAACTGGAAGGAATTTAACACGTGGGATCCCCGTATTCGTTTAGGAGAAGCGGTACATTGTGTATAGCTAGTACTTATATTCCTTACAATATCAATATGATCTTACTTACGTGAACACGTTTGAACACGTTTGCGACGGCTGCTTCTTTTTTGGCACTAGGGATTGTTTCATATTTCTTCTCCAGAAAGAAATGTTTTTGCTCAATTTTATGAGGAAAAAATGAAAAGTCACTTCACTCGTCTACGAGAAAAATGGGGATTGACATCCTTTTGGTGAGATTTGGCCATAGAACAAAAGCCGCCAATTTTTTCATCTGCACCCATTTATCACGCGTGAAACGTAAAGCAATAGTAAAGAATAACTTTCATTATACACTCGGAGAGCCCCCTTACCATGGAACGCCCTGGAGGACTTATCCTCAGTACTCAGTCATTATTTACAGTATTCATAGAGGTACAGATAGTAAACTTGTAGAAATGGAGAGAGATTACTCAATGATCTATTTATGAAACGGCTTTGGCTGTCTTAGGCGCTAGCTGATCCTTAGAAAATTCCACTTTGGTGTCTAACCAAATATTTCTTGCAAAACTGAGTAGAAAATTTGGCTGCAACTGCGCCTTGCCTCCTTCATAGATGTTCTCAGAGGGTGCTAATGGGGGTACCCAATTTTCAGTTAACTACTATTTTTTCGGCCAAATATCAGTTAACTACTATTTTTTTGGCCAATTCTCAGCTAACTACTAATTTTGGTTAGCTATTAACTTTCACTTTCCTACAGCGAATATTATTCCGTCATAATGAAAATTTTCCTTCTTTTAGCAAGTCTATCACTTTTGGGGGTAGGCCCTAATAGAATCAAGGTATAAACTTACATGAACTCTGCCACTAGTACAATTTATTAGTGACTGAAAATATAAGTCGTATAACCATCAATATGACACCAGCCTCATAGATCCAGACGCACCAGTAATGATCTCGTACTGATCTTCGCGACATGGTCATGCATGTCCTGCTATAACTACTTCAAAGTCACCTTCCTCGGCACTTTCACTATCTGGTCGGAATCAGTCTTGTACTTATCTGGTTGCTGTATGTCTTGTATCTTGTTGTTGGGATCCATTGTAACAGACGACGAGAAACATTATCAATGCCAAAATATAGTCTTGAATAACAAAACTGGACCATTATTTTTGGAATTCCATTGGTGAATTCAATCACTGTTTACACCGATGGGAGAGACATAGTTGAGAGTGCTGACAAAGGCGTGAAAGCATTTGACACAGGACAATTCGACTTTTATTTCGTGAGTGTAGCCCTCTTCGAATTCGTAGTTCTTTTAAGCGATTCCTTTACTGTGGTTCCAAAGTCTTGGGCTTAGTTCAAAGAACTAAATGTTTTGTGTTGAAGTGAGAAACCGCATGTAGGTTTTCCACCTGCGTTGTCAGAAGTTTTTTTACCTCGATACAGATTTTGTCGACATCTTCTTCCGCGTCCCGCTATGTTACCTTTTTCGCAGACGTACCTTATTCGCGTATTTCAAAAGCCTCAGTCATAAAAGTATCCAAGGGTTTTAAGAAATGAAACTGCCGCAACTGTTTCAGTAAGACCGGTTTAAACACGAGCTTTTCTTTCTATTAAAAAAGTCTCAATAGTTAGAACTCCAACATCAGTTACAAAAATGATTTCTCGTAAGTACAAATTCCATGTACTTGAAAGAAAGACTGCTGATTTCTTTGAACCCTCAGAAATTCTTTTTAGCCAGAACCAATGCTAAGAGTCACAGCTTTTTTATTTGGGTAATGTTTAACTTGACGATCTTTTGGGTCCGTGAAAACAGTATTTTCCTTTTCAGAACACAGAAATCTTGTTAATATCATAGACGAATTATTCGTTGAGTTGTCTACAACCAGCTCTTTGACTTACGCTTTCTGTTTGTCAGGTACTGCCCTGGTGCCTTTTTCACATAGTAATATCAGTTAATGTGCCACCTGGTCATCAGCGGGACAGAAAAATATCAGAAAATAGCATTTCTGTTTGCAAAACTTTGTTGCTTTCATTAACATTAACGTAATATCACTTAACTCTTAACTTTTCATTTATCAGTTAACTACTAATTTTTTGGCCAATTATCAGTTACCTACTGTTTTTTTGGCCGAATATCAGTTAACTGTTAACCCCATTCGCACCCTCTTCTCAGGATTTCCTCACGCGTTCCTGCCCAGGATGGTGCAGGAACGCGTGACCCTAAGAACGTCTGCGTGGAAGGCAATGTAACTACGGGCCTAGTTACTTTCTAACTGGCAAAAAACGAATGGTGGCTTTATTGGGTTGTTAAACCTGGCCCCTTTAGCACGTGAAGTAATTAGCGAATTTCCCCCAAGCCAGCCTAAGCCAGCCAAAGCCGTTTCCTAAATAGATCATTGAGTTAGCAACCAAATCTTTTGTTTCCTTTTCGGTATGTTTACAGTTATTACTTTTTCAAATGGGTATCTCGATACGCATACCGTAACTGATCTAACAAACACCCGGGGGGTTTATTTAATTTCAGGGTCCAAGCGGGGGCGTTTATTCCCATAACTGTAACATGCTCAACAAAACTTATATGCTCTCGGCAAAAATATCAAGGGAGTGTAAGAATAGCGGAGTATCCACTCCATCATTTGATATGTCTAGGTCGTCCAGAAATCCATGTCGCTTTTTCAAATACCATCACCGATGTCAGAATCCTCGCTCAGGGTTATTGTGTTGTCATCGTTAGCCTATCCTTCCATTGAACTTGACATTGAACAGGATGAAATACGCAAACCCTAGTTAATCAAGCAAGAAACTGAATGAATTGCTCTTTTTAGCTAATTCCTAGAATTTTGGAGTAATCCTCGCTACACAGGGGCGTTATTAGAAAAGGGCGTTTAATACAGTTTTAACGACGTAGAGGGAGCTTTATTTGATGAGAGGCGTTTATTTGCAAGTGGGCGTTTGTTCGGTCATCTACAGCGCTATTCACTGAAAATCAGGCGTAATGCTTGCAACTTTTTTTAGACTTTTGTACTCTACTGTTAAATATCCGTAACTGATTCAAATGACCAAGGGTAAGGTATAATTAGGATTGCTCTCTATGACTAATGGATTCAAAAAAAATACAGGCGTCAAGAGGCCCTCTACACAAGGCTGCTATCAATGGACAGTTCGAAACAATAAAAGGACTTCTTGAAAGTGGTGAAGATGTGAATAAAAAAGATCAGGTTTGAATCTTGTACAGTTTAATATGTTAACCTAATTTTAAGCCCGCTTCTCACGATAAATCGTCGTATAGATGACCTTCGCGTCTTATGAAAGAGGCTAACGCATTCTGAGTATGCATTAGTATAACACGTGTTATGTTGGAATGCCGTTGCCCGGATATAAGACTATTGATAAGACGCGAACCATTTGTACGGGCTGTTTGCGTCCTATGTAAGACATGCCAGCGTCTTATGTAGGACGTGTCTTATTGTTGTTTGCATATGTCAGCGATCGTGTTCATTTTATTTTTGGGGGGTTTTTAATACCTTCACATCTTAAAAATATTTTAGTTATTACAAACTTTTCGCTGTCCAGTTTCCTTTAATCAACTTCCCCATGTTTGGGATCAGAACCAAATTTATTATTCTAAACAGCAACAAAAACAAAAACTTGGTGAGGCTCAGAAGGGGGAAGTGGGCCCATGTACTCCTGGATATTTGTGAGCTAAAGAAAACCTAGCACCAGGGTGATACATACACACCTCTATTTATAACTACGTTTTTTGTCCTCTTTTCTGTAGTTTTCTTTGACACCTCTTCATCTTGCCTGTTGGTATGGACAGGAATCAGTCGTCAAACTGTTGTTAGAACACGGTGCGAACGTCAACGCTAAAGACAGGGTGAGTTAGTGAACTTTCTTCAATTGAACAATATAGTACCCTGAAGGGGTGGGGTAAGAGAGGTTGTTGTTTGTCCAGTATTACTGATTCACACAGGAATCCCTTTATGTTGGCCAATTATTAAATTTACCCTAGCAACAGTATTGATACAAACGCCCATCTTACTATGGTACATACCAGGGTGGTGGTAAACACACCGGTATGGAGGAGGGAGTTGGGCCTCCTCCCAGGGCCGACTGTGACCGTTCCTGAGTAAAGGTGGAAGGTGCACAGAATTCTATAGGGGAGGGAATTGGGCCTCCCCCAGGGTCGGCTGTGACCAATCGTGCCGATATAGGGAGGTTGGGCCTTCCCTCATGGTCGGCTGTGACCAGTCGTGGGCCTCCCTTGGGCCCCCACTAACCTACATGTATATCCCAGGAGTACAAAATGTCGAGTCTATGGGGGCGAAAGTGTGACGAGGGGAGCACCTTATCCCCATTCTCACCTTTATTGAAAAACAAAACTGTCTTCAGAGTAGAAGTACAGGATAGAAACAACTAAAATTAACTAATTTGATGTGTCATATCATTGCATCAGGTGGAAACTCTCAACCGAAAGGGACATCAATGTGTTGACACAGAAATTGATTATAACTATAGTGAGTTGGATGGGAGGGAAAAGGAAACTTCAAGATATTGTGCTTTGCTCGTGAAGAAAAGCCAGAGTGACGAAGCATATGGGAGTGCAAGCTAAGGAACATGGCAGAGCGCCGTGTAGACCCCATGTAATTGGTCAAGTAAACAACCAATTGTTCATAGACTTCAATTCACGTGAGGTTGCACGTGAAAATTACTGGACATGGGACAAAGCTACCAGCAACAGTTGTTGATTAACTGAAATTTATCTCTAGTGATCAATAAATTATGATCTCTTCGAACACGTTTTGATTTGAACGTTTCATTGCACAGGCATTTGCTCTAATTCCACCTGCGAAATCGGCCTTTAACTCTTACCTATATCACCCTTAGAGGCTTGCTATGTTTCCTCCTCTCTTTCTGTATATTTCGTGTGAGTGCTTTTTCCACCGCATTTTTACACATTAAATGAATCAGCTACATTGCAGTCGTTTGTGGATGTTGCTCGAATTATAGCATTCCTGTAACAGAATAGGAATTGTTCTCTCACTGGAGGGGAACTGCTCTTTTTTCTTTGCTGTTTTGGATTATCAATTACCTTTCCTACGCGATCGATACTTATTATTATTATTATTATTATTATTATTTATTTATTTATTTATTTTCAAACAAAAAGAAATAACAACGGGAAAAGATTTTGTTCCCGCTAGACTACGAGTAGTTCCCCATTTTTCCTCAGGGATAGTAGAGTGAGCGGAACGCGAGCGCGCGTGAAAATCACCCCACACGAGAAAAGGCGACACGCGGCGGGGAGAGAGAAAAAACACATTTTTCTCTCTTCCCGCCGCGTGTCGCCTTTTCTCGCGTGGGGTGATTTTCACACGCGCTCGCGTTTCGCTCGCTCTACTATCCCTGAGGAAAAATGGGGAACTACTCGTAGTCTATGTTCCCGCAGGCTACCCAAACCGTTATTAATCTTTTCCTTTTTTGAAGATTTTTTCTTTTGACGTTAACATTAGATTTTGTTCAAGAACATTTAACTGAGTCCATGCTTCAACACTTATGTCCAGGATGGAATGCACAGTCATGTCAAATGCACACGATTTTTTTTTTTTGTTGTTTTGATTTGTTTTGGTTTTTAAAAGCTCTGCTGTGTAATTCTTGTAGTTAACAGTACGTTGCGTTACCTTGTGTAGACAAAGCGGAGACATGCATTTATGTAGAGTTACCTTAGTTAAAATGTTTCTATGATAAATAGTCAAAAGAAGGTAACAAGAATAACTCTGCTTCAATATGTTTTTAGTTTCAGCGTACTCCTCTGCAAAAAGCCGAACGACAAAACCACCATTCCATAGTGCAGTTGCTGCTGAAGAATGATGCCAGGCCATGTCCTCATCAACCAGTAAGATATCAGATTGTGTCTTTATTCCCGTTTCCTTTTTGCGAAATCTTCTTTCAGGAGACTTTTTTTATGTATTTATCAACAATGTTGGACGTTATACGTTATCGATGCGATGATCGTAAACCAGGTAGTTGAATTAACTGACTTGCTGTAAGCATTAGCTTATTCGTTGTCCGCACTAATGTTTTAGGGTATTGAGACGATAATAACTGAAAAGGGTAAGCATTTTATCTTTGAGAGCCAAATGAAATTCCCAGCTTATAAATAAACAATACGTTTTTGACTTACATGCAAAGTCTCACTTTAAAAAGCTGCGCGTGTGACTAAAGTCAAAAGTGCAAAGACGGTAAAAAGACATATAGTGGAATCAATAAGCCTTTATTTAAGGATTAGTTTATTGGTTATTCGAACTGATGGTTTAGGGTACTGAGACGATAATAACTAAAAACAGGTTAATATTTTATCTTTCGGACCCAAATGAAATATCCCGCCGAATAAAAAACAAACTTCGCTTTTGACTTACATGAAAACTCTCACCTCTAAAGCCGCGCGTGCGACTGAAGTCTAAACTAAATAAATTACTCGGACCAATGGCTTAAAGCGGTGCGAACAAAAGGTTTTCATTACAACCCTCCTCTACTGCCAGCAAAATTTCGCTTTGTGGAAATTTTTGCAGCTGCGAATTTTCGCCCTGGCGAAATTTCGCGAGTGCGAATTTTCGCTATTGCGAAATTTCGACAAAACGAAATTTCACTTCAGTGGATCCGAAATTTCGCCAAGATGACAACGAAATTTCGTTTGACTCCACGAAAATTCGCGAGCGCTTTGACGAAATTTCGTGGCAAAATTTCGTCGAATTTTCGCGAGAACAAAGAACGAAAAACACCGAATTTCCTTTGCATTTCTTTTGCACAGTACTGTAGTTGTTAGCCTCCGGCCCTCTGTCGAAACTGACTATTAAAAGCACTGCAACTCGGTATTTCAGTAATTCTATTTTATTATGGTGCATAGCACATTTGTGTTATCGCAATGGTAATTTGTTAGTTAAGGTTTTTTCGTTGTGCTAATACAAAAGTTTTTATTTGTTATTAACCGGATGCCAGGCCATGTCTTCATCAACCAGTAAGTTATGGCAGATTGTGTCCGAAAACTGTCTCACATTTCTGCTTTAACTTACTCAGTGTCAAATGGATTCCCTCTTTATTACTTTCTCTTAAAAACTTGGTCATTTTTTAACAGGTCAGTCTAAAGAAACTCTCAAGGAAAGCTTTCATTCAATTGGATAAACAGGCTGGATTTCATCCACTCCAGGCGGCTGTCTTAAAGAACAAATATGACATTGTTTTGAAAGCTTATGGACTTCCAAGTTATAAAAGTATCAAAGGACTCTATAATGAATGTGCTAAGGACAACAGTGGACAGACTAAGCTGCAAGTGGCTACATGTAATGATGATGCGGAACAAGCTGTTGAGCTTATACTAAATGACGGTGCAGCTATTAATGCCCGAGTGTCAGGTAATGATTACACAGTTTTGATGCAGGCGAGTCGTTCATCCTCAAGTCAGTTCATTGAGACCCTCATTGATCTTGGGGCCGACGTTAATGGGAAAACAGAAAAGAGGAAAGAAACACCATTAAAATTAGCAGCTGTTTGGAACAACTATATGGCAGTGTGCTTGCTTGTAAGGCACAGAGCTTATGTAGATGTTCAGGATAGTTATGGATTCACACCACTACACATTTCAGTCAGAAAAGGTAGCGAAAATCTTATCAAATTACTACTTGCAAATAAAGTAGATGTAAATATTCAAGATAAAAGTAGATATACACCCTTGCACTGGTGTGCCTTTGAGGGTAACGAAAACCCATGTAGATTGTTACTTGAACACAACGCGGATGTAAATACTCAAGATGAAGATGGATATACACCCTTACACCGGTGTGTCAGAGAGGGTAACGAAAACATCTGTATATTGTTACTTGAGCACAATGCGGATGTAAATATTCAAGATGCATATGGAAATACACCCTTGCACTTGACTGCCAGAGAGGGTAACGAAAACCTCTGTAGGTTGTCACTTGAACACAACGCGGATGTGAATATTCAAGATAATCGTGGATATACACCCTTGCATTGGTGTGTCAGAGACGGCAACGAAAACATCTGTAGATTGTTACTTCAACACAACGCGGATGTAAATATTCAATATAAATCGGGATATACACCCTTGCAGTGGTGTGTCAAAGAGGGTAGCGAAAACCTCTGTAGATTGTTACTTGAATACAACGCGGATGTAAATATTCAAGATAAAAGTGGATATACACCCTTGCACTGGTGTGTCACAAAGGGTAACGAAAACCTCTGTAGATCGTTACTTCAACACAACGCACATGTAAATATTCAAGATAAATATGGAAATACACCCTTGCACTGGTGTGTCAAAGAGGGTAACGAAAACATCATTATATTGTTACTTGAGCACAATGCGGATGTAAATATTCAAGATGCATATGGAAATACACCCTTGCACTTGAGTGCCAGAGAGGGTAACGAAAACCTCTGTAGATTGTTACTTGAACACAACGCGGATGTAAATATTCAAGATAAATATGGAAATACACCCTTGCACTGCAGTGCCTCAAAGGGTACCGAAAACCTCCGTAGATTGTTACTTGAACACAATTCGGATGTACATATTTAAGATAAATATGGAAATACACCCTTGCACTGCAGTGCCTCAGAGGGTAACGGAAACCTCTGTAGATTGTTACTTGAACACAACGCGGATTATTCAAGATGAAGATGGAAATAAACCGCTTCACTTAGTTCGTGACCTTCATATATTGAACGGTAAGATAATCGATCTCCTGGTGAAGTATGGGGCGCAAAATATAGACATCCGTGACGCAGAATGCAGGACTCCTTTTCAAATGGCAGTGAGATGTGGTAACGCGCAAGCTGTGAAAAAGCTTGTTGACCACGGAGCTAATGTTAGTGTGGTTAAAGCCGATATGACTGATGCCAGAAGACTGAAACGCTTAAAGAATGAAGGGAAGATGATGGGGCAACTTCTTAAATTTGAAATGGGTTCTGCGCAAAAAGGTAACGAAACAAAACATACAACAGGTGTCGCTTCTGTTCAAGGTGCTGAAAACCCACAGACTCTACATCTTCAAGAACAAATAAATGTGTAATGGCTTAAATAGTAAGATTTTTCAGAGTTGTGTTTTTGAGAAAAGGCCCGAGTGTTAAGTGCATAAAAGAGAAGAGTTTACTCTTATTAAGCTAACGTTAAACTAGTTTGTACAAAATTAATAACAAAATTGACGAGAGTAACGGGAACTTAAAATGGTGTTTATTCCTTTTGTACCCCGAAGAAGGCGGCATTGCCGAAACGTCGGTTAAAACTCTTATAACAGAGAGCGTACTTTGAATTTGTAGATCGGTTTCAAGAACAGTCAATCCCTTTATAGCGGACACCGTAGGGACCTCAGGTTAGTCACGGTCGACCTTCTTAGTGAGAGGATCACGGGAGTTTCTTTTAGTCAAACATCTGTAATCTATTTTTACCTGGGATTTAGTTGCTGTCCGTATTATCGGGGGTGTCCGTTATCGCGGGAAGTCCACAAGAGGGTGCTAATGGGGGTACCCAATTCTCAGTTAACTACTAATTTTTCGGCCAAAGATCAGTTAACTACTATTTTTTGGCCGATTCTCAGTTAACTACTAATTTTGGTTAGCTATTAACTTTCACTTTCCTCAGCGAATATTATTCTGTCATAACCCGAATTTTCTTTACTTCAGCACGTCAATCACTTTTGGGGGTAGGTCCTACGAAAATCAAGGTATAAATTTACATGAATTCACAAAACTCCGCCACTAGTACAATTTATAAGTAACTGAAAATATGGAAAAGAACATGATTATCTAACCGAAGTAGCAAAAATGGGTAAACGATTGCTATTAAGACCCCTAGTTAAAGATTTTTGCCGTTAGTACAAATTAGATCCAAGTCGTATAACCATCAATATGACACCAGCGTCATAGATCCAGACGCACCAGTGATCTTGTACTGATCTTCCCGAACTGGTCATGCATGTCCTGCCATAAACTACTTCAAAAGCCACGTTCTTCGTCACTTTCATTATCTGAATCAGTCACGTACTTATCTGGTTGAAATTACTGCATGTGTTCTGTATCTTGTTGTTGGCCTAAGTTTCAATCCATTTTCCATCCTTGAAATTCATTGCAACAGACGACGGAAAACAATATCAACGCCAAAATAGTCTTAAATAACAAAACCGGACCATTATTTTTGGAATTCAATTGATGCAAAAAAAGTTTTAGCTTTTTAAAAAGATAGCAAATAGCACGACTTAGTCCCGTGACGCTGGTGGTAAAGATACCGCTTTATCTTGAGTTGATTCGCTTCTTATAGTTTGTTGGCAAACAGGTTTAAAGTTCTCTATACAGTCCCCCATCCCAACTTCATCTTCTTTTGTCATTGTCTGCACTGATGGGAGAGACATAGTTGAAAGTGCTAACAAAGGTATGAAAGTATTTGACATGGGACAGTTCGACTTTTCGTCAACGTAGCCCACTTCGAATCCGTAGTTCTTTTAAGCGATTCCTTCACTTAATTTCCAAAGTCTTGGGCGTAGTTCAAAGCACTAAATGTTTTGAGTTGAATGAAGTGAGAAACCGCGTGTAGGTTTTCCACCTGCGTTGTCAAAAGTTTTTTGTACCTCGATACAGACTTAGTCGATATCCTCGTTCGGGTCCCTCAGTGTTACCTTTTTCGCAGACGTACCTTTTTCGCCTATTTCAAAAGCGTCATAAAGATATCAAAAGGTCTCAGGAAATGAAACTGTTTCAGAAAGACTTGTTTAAACACGAGCTGATTTCTTTGAGCCACCAGAAATTTTTTTTGGCCAGATCCAATGCTAAGAGTCACAGCTTTTTTCTTTGGTGGTAATGTTTAACTTAACGTCCTCTTGGGTCCGTGACAACAGTATTTCCTTATTCGAACACAGAAATCTTGTTAATATTAGAATTACGAATTATTCGTTGAGTTGTCTACGACCAGCTCTATGACGGACGCTTTCTGTTTGCCGGGTACTGCTCTGGTGCCTTTTGCACATAATAATATCAGTTAATGTGTACCGTGTCGTCAGCGGGACAGAAAAAAGTCAGAAAATAGC